GAACATGATGAGGGTTACGCATGGACCGGAAGGGGAGTCGGCTGCACGGGTGTTCTACCAAGATATTAAAGTTATTCAGTATACTCATGTTTCGCAGTGAAACTGGGTCATTGCAACCCGTTGTAACTGCTTAAAATCTCAAATTCAAGCTCCTTACAGCCATCTCTTTGAACCACAGTGTTCAAATCTCAGTTTTGGGTGTAAGAAACCCTATATCGTCATCCACAATTGGTGCCAGATGTACGACTAACAGAGAACTACTGTGAAATCCTACACATCACCGTGGTCACCATTGGGAACATTATGTATCTAATCACTGACAGACTTCCTGGCGTCCTTTTTGAGGAAATTAAAAGATGTGATATAGGAGCAGTCCCGCTGCTTTCATTCTGTGTATCTGCAGCTGTCCATCGCCTCATGTGTACCAACCTCCTGCCCGGCACGGCGATTTTTAAACCGAATAATAACAGTACTGGGGGATTGCAAGAGCTGAACTCTCTGGCATCGAAAGTTTGCTGCCCATTATGGAAAAGCGGTGGGCTTTTAGCTTCCTTGTAATAATGTAATCCTTGATTATATCCAGGAGACAGTTCCTTGCTTCCCTCAGTCTTTAGGTCAGAGGTCAGGGTTGGCTTTAGAGCCTGCACCCTTGTTCAATGGAAGGAATTTGGTGTCTTGCACAAACTTGGTGGTAGAATGAAAGTGTTTTCAAACCACAGCCAAAGCTCACATTGATGCATCCAAGAAGGAGGAGAACATGTTCTCCCTTAGGGCTCACAAGGTGTGTACACAAATATGAGCTATAGGAAAGACACCATGGGGATTTCCAGCCATTTATCTCTCTTGCTGAAGTTGGTCCGCTTATGCTTTTTGTTCTCACAGGTCGGTTGATAACACTGTGTTTTGTCTTTCTTGCAGCTTGTTCTCATTTTCTGCAACCATGTGTGAGCTGTGGTAAATCAAGTATAGGTCCCTCTTATAAATAAAAAGTTGATTTAACTCGAACTGACTCAGTGACCAGTGGACTCGGTGACTCACATCACACAGCGCTGTGTTCGGGGAGCCGGGGCGGCACGAAAATGACAGACCGACACACTCGATTTACGACCAGAGAACAGGGTGGCTTTTCAATTTGAGGCTGGCCCTCGATTTGAGACATCACATAGACCCAGACTCTCCTAATTACACCACACACACTCACTCACACACACACTCAGGCAGCTAGAGAACAGTTATTGGCGAGACAGACTGTGGAGGCAGATAGCCTTTGTGCAACCTCTTGATTTAAACAGTCTGGCAGAGAAATGGGAAAACAAGCACACATACACCATCCTCACCGCCGTCATTATGACATCGATTTAGCCACAAATGGAGAAGCGATACAAGGAAGTGAATGAGATCAATAGACAAACTCGGCTATGGGAGGCCTCAGGCTCATGGAAAAGGGAAGCAGGGGAAAAACAACAAGGCGATATTTGATTAAAGTGGAAACATTTCCTGTGTATTCGAGTAGAGGATAGGATCGGGCATCGCAGAGTCGCTTCCCTGTGTAATTTCACATGTCTGTGTTTGGAGAAAGGTCATCATTAAGTGAATGTCATCCGCATAATTATAGCATCTTCATCTGTGTCTCTTTAGTGGCTTCGTGTGTGTGTGTGTGTGTGTGTCCATGGCAGGGCACCAGAATGTGTCGGGCCTGTCTCCTCCGCTCCCTCTGATTGGCCGTGTCTGTTTTGTTTGTGTCGCTGTTTTGGAGCCGTCCCACTGAATGAGGGCAGCCGCTTTAGGGCCGTCACGGCGGGCACTTCGTCTGTGCTGAGGGGCGCTAAATAGCTCGCTGCACCAGGAAGAGGACTAACTGGCAAAGAGAGAGGGAGGGGCAATAAATATAGAGTACCCCCCGTGCAAGTAGAGAGCCGTTGCGTGCTGCATTTGGGGAAAGAGACACAGAACTCTGTCTTTGCCTGTTCTCTTTAAGAGCTTCACAAGTGGTTGTTTTGGCTGGCGGCGACTTGAGTTCATTTCAGAATCAGAATACCTTAATTTGTCCCACTGAGGGGAAATGTACATCCTTACTGCAAAAGTGAAGATCAGAAAATGGCAAAAATATGAATTAAGAGGCATGCATGAATAACACAGATTATAAAATACAAAAAGACTCATCCAAGTTGTTTTCAGTAGATGAATTGTCTAACTACGAGATAGCAGCCAGTAATAATAATAATTATAAAGCGGAGTATGTATAAACTATATATATTGCACATAAGTGATATTGCACAACAGATGCGTCATAGTCTTTGTTGTTTTAAGTGTTGTATATTGTCAGTGTGAGTCATCACATCTGACAGTTTAAAAGGCATCGAAGGATCTTTATATGATCCTGCATTCAGTGCAAACACACTCTTTCATTAAATATGCCAACATTTTACAGGTGTGACAAAGCAGTGATACAATGCACAGTTATCATACTAAACAATGCTCTTATCAGAACAATAGCATTATGACACATTTAAAGGTCCGCACACACCATGTGATCGCTGCTATCTCGGGGGTTAATTGCACGTCACACGGTCTGAAGTGGGTCTGATGAAATGTGTGTCAGACCGTGTGATATCTCTATGTCAGACTTTGCTCTCGTGTCGGGGTCAGCCAGCGTACTCTGCATAATTTTATTCCGTGTTTTGATTGGTTGGCCCGTAGCAACATTGAATCATAAATTCTTGCCATGACTCGAGCTGGAGACATGTCCGTCCAATCATAGCTTGTCGTCTTCATGAGGGATCGAGATGGAGGTGACAACCCCAACCAACCTCATAAGTCTTTTACGATGTTGGCGTTTTTACAGTCGTGCAAGGAGGAGAGCTCACTGGGATCCTGTTGGAACTGGGAGGAAATCAAATATCAAAATATTTCTGATAAAATAAATCAATATTTTGTATTAACTGTAATAAATGATGGGTATATTATGACTAAGTGGGGACATGCAAATAATAGAACAGCTAGAACAGTCTGGAAGTTCAGAAAATGATATCCTTTTACTGTAATGCAGCCTTTAAAACCATAAAAGAAGACACTTATAAGATAAGACTTTATTTATCCCGAAAGGAAATTGTTGTGCCAGAGTAACAAAAATACAATAAACAGAGCAGCATAATAGTAAAACTGTACACTAAAAGTGCAGTAAAGTTCTATTACTTATATCTGAAATCTAAGACTATATTTAGCCTTGTTTCACACCTATCATAATATTTTCCAAATAGCTCCTAAGGTTGACCGTCACTGAACATTTGTAGAAGTTAAAATGACATGGCATGTGTCGGGTCGGGTCGCTAACGTTACATATGAGTGTTTTGATCTTGAAATATGATGTAGTTTGATCCCAAAATAAATAAACCGTCCGTAGAAATATCTCTCAATATATTCTTGGTCCTCTATTTTGATTTGACGACAAAGATCCCCTTGCTGTGCCTAAAATAGCGCAGCAGTTGGGGTAGGTTTTATGGGTGGGTAAAAATTGCTGATGCAGGCGCAGTAAAACTGGAAGGTGTTGGGGGTGGCATTTCAGACATCATTTAATAGCATGCTGACCTCTTAACTCAGCTGTCAGTGGACGTACCTCACATGACACTTGTTAGAACTGGATTGATCAACAAACAGTTCGCTCTAAAGGCCCGGACACCACCATGCCGATTTTGTCCGTCGGTGGGCGTCAGGCCGACGATGAGCGTCGACACGCTCTACTCAGATTGGTGTGTCCCGCACCGTCGTGTCTTTTCAGCCGTTTGCCGACACCTTTTCGGCCGAAAAACCCACCGATTCAACATGTTGAATCGGCGGGCAGTCGGCCAAAGGCTGTCGGCAAAAGAAATCACTCTGATTGGCTGTTCAGCTAGCGAATCAGTTGCATGAGAAGCGAAACGGAAGTGAGGGGGTACCAAACAAACTATTAAGAAGGCAAATCTGAGATTTCATTTAACTCCAGCTCTCGACACAGCTTCGGGAAAGCCCCATGAGCTTCTCGCTGTAGAGTGAACATAGAACGCACACGCTATTTGCTGTTTGTTTATATCACGCAGTCTGTTCTTCTTCTCTCGGTTATCACGCAGTCTGTCTTCCGGTGTTGCCTCTTTTGAATGACGAATACACACTACCGACGCCTGCTGGTAAGGAGAGTTATTGCCACTCACGCATGCGCAGTTCCTACGTGCTTCTTGGCCGTCGGCTGAAGTCTTGAAGTGCGGTGTGTGTCCAGTGCGACACATGGCCAAGACGCGAGGCGAGGCAACGCAACAGTCGGGGGTCCGTCTGTGTCAGTTCTTTGGTGTCAGCTTGGTGTGTCCGGGCCATTAATTGTAAACTTTCGGCCGGACAGCCCCAAAAACACACGGTGCATAAGGGCCGTAAAACCAACAGATGGCTGCTTGGCGCCATGTGATTCGTCTGCTACCCACTACACAGGAGCAGAATTATCATTAAGTCTGCATTCCTGCTAATCCTATCAACTTTCAACTCTGCAGAGAAGGCCAGTTAAGTCTCCTATGTGCTGCTGGGACATGTACCGTTTTGAAATATTACTATAGTGACATTTTCCTTTGTGATTCACACCTGTGAGCTTACATGTCCAATATTGAATGTGAAGGGCTGACATTTCTGGATGTTTTTGAGGCACACACACACACACTTTGCTCTGCAGACACAGCAATAGGTATCTCACTTTCACCGTCACGGCTTTATCTTCTATCTTCTTCCTCTCTAAATATTTTTTTTCCAGCTTTTGTGGCTTTGTCTACTTTTTTTTTTTTTGTACTGTTGTCATTTGAGGGACACTGTGACCCTGGACTGATAAGCCGACACTGATAACCTTACAGTAAATATTGTAATATCCTGATAAGCAAGTGATGCTGCATATACATGTCATAATATTTATTTCTTCTTCATATCTGGGTTATTGTTTATTCTGCGTATAACCAAACAATGTTCTCTGTTTGTCTCCTTTCCAGAGTGTTGATGTCAGTGCGTCGTCCTTTGGGAAACAATCTGGTGCTCCTCGGAGAGCTTTAAAGCTCCGCCTGTTCCTTTTGTGTCGACCAATCACATTGAGCCGAACAGCTGGATCGGACACGCCCCAGAAGCACTTTGAGAGACTGTTGGAAAACTTTTCTTCTTCGCTTGTCATCTTGTGGAAGCAACATGGATGTGTGCCAAATGACATTCTTGTTAAAGCTATTTGCTGCTCTCATTCCACGAGGTGTAAGCCAATCAGAGAAGGGTATGGGGGGAAGAAATGGGGATTTCTGTTTTGATTTTTTGAAAAAAATTCAAATCATTAAGAGTATAATGGTGGATATTCAGTGTATGAAAGAAAAGAAAATAATTATATATCTGCTCAAAAAGTGCCTCATTTTCAGATTGTAGCCATTTTACAAAAAACTTCAACTATGCCTCAACTAACTGAAGCTTTGGGTTTTTCTGAGGGGGGGATTTGCTTGACTTAATGTAGTTACAAAAAAAAGTGCAACAGAAGATACTGGTATGAGCTTTTACTGCGTTCATGTCATATGGGAGGATTTTGGTGTCAATAGATGGCCATTTAAACATTATCCTTAAATGTATTTTGTGTCATTAAAGGTGGGGTAGGTACGTTTGAGAAACCGGCTCGAGATACACTTTTTGTATATTCCATGGAATGCTCTTAACATCCCGATAGCAATGAATATCTTAAGTGCTTTGACAAAAAATCCATTAAAAAAATGTCATCTGTGGAAGCCGTAGTACTGTAAAAAGCACGACCAATCATTTTAGCCGGCCCGGCTAAAGTAACTGGATGGCCTACCTGCCTGTCAGCCTTCCATCTGTGCACAAACTTATCTCGTGCCCTCATTGGTCATGTGCGCGTTCGTGTGTGTTGGAGGAGGGGCTCTGTAAGGAAGTGGCAGATTTTTTCCGGTTGTGTATTTTCAAATTCTAGCGCACTCGAGCTGGTTTCTCCAAAATTACCTACCCCACCTTTAAGCTCCAAGTTTAATAGAGCATTGACTAAACGACTGGATAATGACATTAACAGTATAACAAATCGTACGTGTAAACCTACCTGGTAATAAACCTGTTTCTGATTCTGATCACAATAATCTAATATGACATGAATGCAGCATTTTTGCTAACATTATGATGATAACGGTACTAGCCAACCTGCTGGCTTCCTGTCTACTGTGAGATATATTAGCGTAGCCTGTGTTAGCATTTAGCTCATTAAGACTTGCGCTGCTTTTATTTCCGTCTTTTTCTCTCTCTGTTAACTTTTTAACAAAGCCATAAACCGTAAGTATTAAACACACAGGCTTGATAAGGCACGTGTAACAGGGGATACAGCCGCTTTCTAGTTAGCTAAAGCCAGCTAGGTCATATCAACATGTTAGCATCGTGCCAGGATGTAAATTCAGTGTCCTGCTGACTACAGCTCAGGGTTGAGACCCCTGATACAGAGCCAAGCAATCCCATTAGTGCTATTAGCTCCAGACACTTGTGTCTCATTTAATCCACTTCGTCTCAGGATGCTAAATAACATTAGGTACGTACGTTCAGCTGAGGATAGAGACCCTATCAATAGCCATGCTAATGCTAGCTTTGTAGCGGTCAGCACACTGCTTTTAGCACCGGAAAGGGGTCGGTTCTTATTTCAATTCTGCCATTGCGTAATAATAAATGAAACTGCTCATTTGTTCGCAGTTATTTTATACATGAAGGTACCAAAATTCTAAGATGTTTACACTTTAAAACGTTTTAACTGGTTGAATTGAAAGTGCTTTGACCCTAAATCCCCCTTTAGGACCGTTTCTATCTCCTTCCCTCCCTCCTTTCTGACTTTTGCTTAGCTCTTACTTTAATCTCCGCTATGCATCAGCATTTAAGTGCCTGTCTGTCCTTTTTATCTGTCTGTCTCTCTACCCCGTCTAAGCAGCTAGCACTAGCAGGGCTGTCCTAGCAGAATATATTAAGTCTATTTTTATGTCTATTTTTGTCTCTTTTTGCTGTACAGTTCTCATGAAAATAACTTGTTTATGTTTGTTCGATGTGACAATGATCTATCGGATGAATTGACTGACAGCCATGGCCCTAATCTGAGAAGTTTTGGACTGTTTCTCTTACGCCATAAATGGAGGAGTTAATTGTTGCAGGGCCGTCGGTGCCAAAAACACAACAAAACAACAAATAAAGACTAAACTCCAGCAGCACCTCAAGAAGCAACCTTCAGCTCCTAAGTCTGGACGTATTGCTTTGTTTTGTTTTAAAATTGTAACCTTTTGTGTTCCCCCATTGTTTTCTTTTGCCGCGGGGAAAATAACTGTGACATATCTGGCCTCGCTTACGTGACACTTGGAGATAAAGGTCATTGCGAGGAACTGCGTACGTTTTAACCTTGAATTTCCCTATGACTTTGACCCGAGGATTTAAAAAAGAAATGCATGAAGAGGAAGAGAAAAGGCCACCACGAAATGTCTAAATAGTATACATGTGCATCTATTTGCTACAAATTGTACTCATGTGTTTGTCTGCCTGTCAGCGTTTCCGCCAAAGGGGCGTCTTGCCGTCATTTGACGCCCTTATTCAGCTCGGGATGCCCTGAACGCGAGCCGAGGGCGTCCAAAAATATTAATAATTCGAGAGAAGATCGAGAGTTTTTTTCGCTTGAATTAACGAAAAGGAAAAAGGACAAGGACATCCATCTTTTGGAGGGGCAAAGGAGTCTGGTGGGATTATTTTCGGAGTATTGAAGATCGTTTCCCCGACATCGGCGGTGCCTGCTACAGGACAACACGGAACGTGCGCGATTTGGACGCGATGAGCGGTGCTAGTGGAGCACGCGCGTGAGCTGCGAGCACCAGAGCCTCGCAGCGGCGAAACTGAGGCTCCGTGGTAAACTGTGGTAACATGAAGAGCCGTTTGGGAGCCTTCGAAGTTCATGGACTAGCTCACTCTGTTCACATGACTTTCAGGGGGCCTAGAGCGTAACAACTTTATTACGAGCAGGTTGGGATGTGAGGTTGGAACTGCCTCTAGTAATGATTACTAATGCAAAAGTGGGGAAGAAAAATGAACTTCCAACCAGATCATGCAGACTTGCAGAGTCAGACAAACACATGATCCGTCTTTCTAATGTCTTTTGGAGATGTTCTCATATTGAAACTCAGCAGTTTTCAGCCAAATGCTTGAAGGTACTTATAGTTTAGAAAGAAGAGCGCACAAACAGGCTTTCAATCTTGACAAGCGGACACTATCATCCTGCCATTTAGAGCCTCCTCTCAGCTCTGAGCGTCTCATGAACTTTACTTCGTCAAACTGCCCGCAGTCTGTTTCTCCGACTGTCCGTGATGAAGTGCTCGATGATCGCAGACATACATATCATGACTAAAGTTCCTTCAGGAGAGCTCAGACGAACGGGGTTCAAGAGTTGAAGTGGCTATATGATTTCATTAATTCTTAGCAAGATGTTCATGAAATGTGCAGGAAACTTGCTGCTGCTGTTCTAAATTGTTTTATCTCTTCCTCCTGTTCCCCCGTGGATGGTACTGAATGGGAAATATTGTGAGATTTGCCATTGATGTAGACAAGTTTTACTTCTGTTGCTTTAGAAAAAAAAAAATCTGACTAAAAGAGAAAAAAAAGTAAAACAACAAAAAAAGGGCTTGTGGTTTCTTTTGTTTTCCGTGACTTATTTTGAGTGATGTAATGGGCATGTTTGTTAAATCAGGCTTAAGGCAGAAGAAACAACAGTGCTACTGATTTAAAGGGGGAGAAGAAGAGCGGAAGGCGCTAAGTTTTACGATCTGAGGCGAGTGTGAACATCTGCATTGAAAGGCCACAGACACGGGAGGGCTCTCGCCACACTCGCCGTCATTGACTCACACACACACTCGCAGAGACTACAGCAGATGTCCCCACTGTAATGGGGGAAAATAAAACAGCCTGATTGTTATCCTCACAGCCTGCAAAGCTGCATTAGTCACATTCGCCACTCCCATTGATAAGATATTTGCACTCACTGATGGCGGTGGCCAGCGGAGTTAATCACACGTCTCACTGGTAATTTGACCAAGGTGGTGTTTGGTGGCGGAGCTCCATCCCTGTCTTATTTGATAGTGATAGCACCCTCTCACTCAGCACTCGGTTTAATTAAATAAGCTTTTTTTTAGGCTATTATAAATCTGTCTTTCTCTTCTAGTTAACATGTATGGGATCTTTATCATCCTCGTCCACAGATGGCCAAGTAGCTCAACCCAGACAGAGGCACCCTATGTATGAATTAATAGAAATGAGAACACACACACACACAGATCATGCACCTGTGGATCCCCTCACTTCCTTCATTGAGAGAAAACAAGGTTAGTGTGGACAAAAAAAGCTTGTTAGCACCTGAAAGATGTAGAACCCCCCCCCCCCCCACACACCCACACACACACCAACACCAGAGGGTTTAATGAAAGAAATTAGAATGTTAAAACATTTCCTCCTTCTCATATTTTATAAGCAGTGCACCTGATTCGGTGTTAAACTTTTAGCATTATTTGCAAGACATGTTCCTCATGATTTGCAAGAATTTCAAGGTTTCTCTGAAATGAACATGAATAAGTTAACTCTTCCTCCTCCTTGGGATGCAGCCTTAGGCAATGGGAAACTCTGTATGAGCTGTTGGAGTTCATGGAGAAATGTTTAGGATACCTCTGCCGTCAACGAGGATCCACAAATGAAATAAGTTCTTTACAAATTGAACAGCAAAATATTAGTTTAACAACTCACACAACTCCTGCAGTTTAATGCAATCTATTTGAAATACTTCATAGTCCCGAGCATCATGCAAATATGTTCCGAATAGTAAGGTTTTAAGCTAAATTAATCTGTTATGAAAGGAGTGAGCATATTAATGGATACATAAAAGCTGTAGTATATTGCATATATCAGGTAAGGCTGATATATTTGATCTTAATTCAATTCAGTCTTAGGAAAATCTCCATAATGTACCATGGAGGCATGTGAGAAAAACTGCTTTCTTCACAAATTCTAGGTAACACTCGGTGAGTCATTGATAAACACTCTGTGGGTGAAGTATTCCTTTGAGACTAAGGTTTAATTCAAGTAATAAGTCACATGAACCCATTCCAGGGATTGTAGACAAACAGGAGCAGGGGCGTCAGAATGGGCCCAGCTGCCATCTGGTTGTCACGGTGACGGGCCCGCCTCGGCTGCCAGCAGCAACATTTCCGGTCAAGAAGAGTGAGAAAGAGAGGAGGGGGATGCTGGGCGGCGGCCCAGAGAGAGGACAGCGAGTTCAGGCAGCAGAGAGGTGTGGTTGGATGGAGGCCAAACAGGTGGACATGTTGTGTCTGAGCCGGCGGGAGGATCATCTTCTCAGTTGTGAGTGTGTTGATACTGCATCATTGTAAACACACCTACATGCCACCTATTGGCACCCTGCCACAGAAATGAACTGAATAACCCCCACTTCCTTATGCACGGCAGGGTGTGCACGGGAATAAGTGTGCATTCCCATGAGAAAAGAAGAGATAGGAAATAAATAGTTCCACTTTTCTCCAAAATGTAACTTCTTTTTTTTTTATATACCAGACACTTTTAACTCTACACACCTAAAAACCCTTTATTTAAACCATTTTAAAAGTAAAAAAGGCTTGTTTGAACTGCTCTGAACTCATGCCC